TCAGGATGCACTGATAACCGTTCTTACCATAAGATCAGTCCAGCAATGGAGCAGATTTTTCACAGTCACCGTCCCTGAAGATTTTCAAGACCTGACTGTACCCTGGAGCAATGAGGTCTGACCTCATAGGTGATTCCACTTTGAGCTGAAGGTTGGACTAGAGAAACCCTGAGGTCCCTTCCAAACTGAATTTTCCTTATGAAGAATCAATTAAATTATTAAATGGAGAAGTTAATCCATCTCTTGAGCCCACAACTAGATCTTCAGTGCCTCTTGAGTCCTACTCACTAAAACCACTGTTTCTATCCTGCCTGGACTGATTACCTCCATAGATCAGCAACAGATGAGAACTGTCTGTGTTACTGGTGAGAACACAACAGTTACACTGAATAAATGAAGACACTACCAAACCACTCCTTGATGATTTGAATAGCTAATCTGACATCCTCCACAACTACATTACAAAGGCTAATTCACATCTTAATTTGGAGAATTTTCAGTCCATCAAAGGTCATGGTTATTATGTTAGTTCGTGCTACTGTAAGGTTATAAACTGGCCCTAGTACTTCATTGTCCTGTCTGACTCTGCTGACATTTTGCATACATGAAAAGAGACAGTGTAGGATGGAGACTACCCACTCAAATAGCAACTGAAGGCTTGAAATAGTGCTAGAGACCTTCTTGGAGAAGGCACTACTCCACAGACACTTGAGTGCTCAGACTCAACTCTTCTGTGCTATTATGTTCCCACCTTCATCCTCCTGAGCATCAAGCAACAGCAAAAAACATTTTTATGTATCACTCTAGTATAGATTTATATACCTTATTATTTTAAAACAAGTTAACTTAAATTACAAACCCAGATATATTAGCTTGCATCAAGCTCCATTCTGCTGTGACTAGTCTTCTTCCACTTAACTCACTGCCAGCTAACTTTACCATAGCAACAAAACGATGAAAACTGCAGGAGAGAAATAACTCAGTAGATAATTTGTGACCACTAGTGTTGCTTCGTCAGTGATGTGTCAAGCACCATTGTGCAGAGAACTTTCTGTATGTTCCTAGAGCTTGTACATTTTGTTTTCCCTAGGACTGTGAGTCAGGGTTAATAGTTTGGCACAGACACATTCTAGTCTGTCTCACATTCTTTCTCTGCTGTGCTATATTTCTTCAGTTTCTTTATTCAGCAAGATTTACTTTCTTACAATCAGATACATATGGTGAGTAATGCAAGTAGCTTGGTATTATACTCACGTTCTCAATTAGTTCCTCCCTGTTGAAGAAGTAGATCCAGGACAGTTTCTCCTCTGGATGGATTTTCTACTTTCTGGATCATAAAGCTGTCTTCTCTGTATTCTAGGAACTACTTTCATGTTTTACTGTCTTCATTACCTAATGGGTTTCAAAATGGTTATTGTTAAGTCCCTCATGAATATAGTAGCTTCTGGTTTTTAACACTTCAAGAGTTGATGTAGAAATTTTCCATTTCAAATCAGATGACCTATAACAAATACACACAATCATTTCTTCATCATCCCCATTTATTTTTCCAAGGCATACAGCATCACTAGTTGGTACTGTTTCCTTTTCTTATTTTTCTTTGTAATTATTCAAATAGTTTATTTCAGGCTTTATTATCACTCTTTTAACTTAATTCTTTTATATTTTAATTCTTGCCTAATAATATGTTGGTTTATATTTTCTCCTCTATTGCTGTTTTAGCACTTTTCTTGCTTTTTTCTTTCTTTTCTTGACACCTTACATCTTACTTTTCTGCTGTTTCATCCCAATAATCTAGAGCAAGTAAAAGATTTCTTTTTCTTTCAACAGAAAATTAACCCTATTACCTTGTGGGCTTTGCCAAAAAAGATAAAGACGTTTGTCAGACATTTGTATACATTCTTTTAAGAAAGCATATTCTGTATATTAACTAACAGATACAGTAAGGCATGGTAGTTGCTAGGAGAATTTTTCACTACAATAACAGAGCAAACAGTGATTTGTTTGAATATAATTTATAGCTACCCTGAGGCCACAGTGAATTATGCATCTTCTTTTATTCACAGAAAATCTTCCAAATGTCTACTGAAAATATCTCTTCTTACACCTGTGTTTTTTGCTGTAATGTTTCATATTTTTAATACAGAGTAGTAATATGTTCATAAGAAAAAAATTACATACTTCAGGTTTGTTTTTTTTTTTTTTATAAGATAGCATCCACAATATGCATGATTTCCTTTATAAGAACACTTGATAAAGTAGCCAGCTTCTAATCACACTTAATGACTGCTAATATCTAATCATTGTGTATGGACAGTGTAGAAGTGGTAGAATGTCAATTCCTCCTTCCTTTTCACCAAGAACATTAATGACATTTAGTAAGCAATGAAGTATTTAGGAGAATAAGTGATAAATTTTCAGAAATTGTACTTCTAACTTCCTTGTGTATTTTTAAAATCTGCACTGTGAGATGTTGAAAAGAAAACTGGAGTAAATTTTCATTTTTTCAGTTGGATTCCTTTCACAAATAAACTCCCTGGAAAGAGAACTCTAATTTTATGTTGTTCATCCTGATCATAAAGTGGAGCATTAGAGTATGTCACTTGCTCAATCACTTTCACATGTACAGTGACTTATACCTATAAGAACACTTATCAGAACTGACTTACTGATATCATAGACCTCAACTAAAATTTCTGAGAAACTTCACATCCTTCAGGTTAAAGAATGCAAATTTACAGAATAATGTTTTCATGTACACATGGAATCAATTTAAGCAAGTTTCAAAGGACTGTAAATTATCTGAATTTAAAATAAAAGTCTTGTGTGAATCACAGATATGGCTTCTAGTAAGTCTGGTCCTCTCAAACTAGGAAAGCACTGGAAAAACAAACTCACAGTAAAGAAATTTTGTTTGTTTGTTTTGTTTGACGTCTCTAGAGTATCATTTGTGCAATACCCAGGAGTTAAGAACAGTCAAGTTCTTTAGCAGGATTAATTTCAGTATTTGTAATTATAACTCACTTTCATGGTATTGATTGTAGAGATTCAGGTACTTGCATCCAATGAAAATGTAACTGTGTTTTATACACTGAGACAAAGAGGAGACTGAAGACAGTGGTATTTTTGATGGATATAGACTGTGATGTCTAAGGCAATGAGTATCCAGACTGACACTCCAAAAACTGTGATAAAAACTTACAGTAAGAAAATGCCTTATTTTAAATGATCAAAGAATTTATCATTGGTGAAAAAATGCACTTTTGACCTCATACTCACAAGCCTATACTGTCCTCAAACTCATGGTAAGACATAAAAGGCAGAGGAAAACCAAAAGCTTATCTGAACTTAATGATTCATTTAAGTCATAGAGCAAGTCAAGTATTATAAGTTATACTAAATACAGAACAAGACAGCAGAAGATAATAATAGCTTAGGAATCTGATTTCTATTTTAGAAGGCAAAATGGTCTCAAACATGTTTGGCAAACCTTGAAGAAAATCCATAACCATACTGTGTAGGTTGGATAGATGATTCCAGTGTCAGACTGTGGTGGCTTGACCCTGGCTGGATGACAGGTGACCATCAAAGTCACTCTATCACTCCCCTCCTCAGATGGACAGAGAGAAAATATAACAAAAGCCTCGCTGGTCAAGATAAGGGCAGGGAGATCACTCAGCAATTACTGTCACAGGCAAAACAGACTCAACTTTAGGAAATTAGTTAAATTTATTACTCTGTCAAAATCAGAGTAGGGTAATAGGAAAATAAAAACTAAATCTTAAAACACCTTCCCCCCATCCTTCCCTTCTTTCCGGGCTTAACTTTACTCAGGATTTTCTCTATGTCCTCCCCTCCCAGCAGCACAGGGTGATAAGGAATGGGGGTTGTTGTCAGTTCATCACCCCTTGTCTCTGCCACCCCTTCCTCCTTAGAGGGAAGACTTCTCACATTTCTCCCCTGCTCCAGCGTGGGGTACCTCTCACAGGAGACAGTCCTCCATGAAATCCTCCAGCATGAGTCCTTCCCATGGGCTGCAATTCTTCATGAACTGTTCCAGTGTGGGTCCCCTGTGGAGTCACGAGTCATGTCAGCAAAAATGTTCCAGCGTGAGCTCCTCTCTCTGCCCACATCCACAGATCCTGCCAGGAATCTGCTCCAGTACGGGCTTCCAACAGGGTCACAGCCTCCTTTGGACACATATATCTGCTCTAGCATGGGATCCTCCACAGTCTGTAGGTGAATATCTGCTCCACCATTAACCTCCATAGGCTGCAGGGACACAGCCTGCTTCAGCATGGTCTTCAGCACGGGCTGCAGGGGACTATCTGCTCTGGTGCCTGAAACACCTCCTCCCCCTCCTTCTTCACTCACCTTGGTGACTGCACAGTTGTTTCTCTCACATATTCTCACTTCTCTCTCATCTGGCCACAGCTGGTGTTGCACAGCAACATTTCTTTTCCCCTTTTAAAATATGTTACAGCAGAGGTGCTACCATTATCCCTGATGGGCTCAGCTTTGGCCCGCGGTGGGTCCGTCTCGGAGCCGGCTGGCATTGGCTCTGTCAGACACAGGGAAAGCTTCCAGCAGCTTCTCACAGAAGCCACCCCAGTAGTCCCCCCCACTATCAAAACCTTGCAACGCAAACCCAATAGAAGAATTTCCTCTTCAATCTTTTAATTTAAAGAAGGAAGACAAACTGTTACATCTAAACATTTCATTTTTTTCCACTGTTGCTTTGATTTTCTTAACTTGTCTTGTTTAGATTCTTCAAAAGGATCATATGACCATCAGTACCAAGACAAACAAAGCAGATGAGAATGTGGCTAGAGTGACCATGGGTGAAGAGTATAGAAATATGGAGCATGGTGACAGAATGGCTTAAACTCTCCTAGATAAAGCCTCTTCATCTGCCTGTTTATGGAAAAACAAAACGTCATCTATGTTTTCAGGACTTGCTTAACTTCTTGGGCCTCTGGTGTTGGGTTTTAAATCCAAGAACACTTCAATTGACTCAGAGTTTAGACTTGTTACTCAAGAAGTTTGCAAATAACAGTTATTTTTTAAGAAAAATTGCTGGTAAATATCATTCAAAGGCATGAGCACTGAATAATATGGTAGTAAATTATTATTTTAGCCTGTGGTGACTCCTCACCAAGCCAAAACTGAGATTTCCGAAGGGTTTGTATGGAAAAAATAGAGAGCCTCTCCTCAGAAGAGGCAGTAGTTAAGTGCTGCTCCCCTGGGATATCAGAGTTGCAAGTTCAAGTCCTTCTTTACAAATGAATCAGAGCAAAGATCTGAGGTCTGTTTTTTCATACTGCCAGTGCATGGCTATCTGTTGGCAATGACAGGATTGTGGGGTTTTTTTTCCAGTTTTGACAGAAATTAAACACTGAATAATAGAAATCTTTCCTGATTGAAAAAAACACAGGCGCTTTCATGTGGAAAGTTCCCTTTCAATGCCTCAGCATTTTCTACTGAAAACCTCTCATTTTCTAGTGTAATTTTTATAAGCTCTGTAACTTAGTTCCTGGGGTTTTCAAACCAATAAAATTTGTCATAGTACATTGTAAAGATCTTCCTTAATAAGAATATCCTTAACGTTTAAAAAAAAAAAAAAAAAAAAAGCCTAGAGCTAGTGATACAAGATACTTCAACTATAGCTTATTACATAAAAATAAAATCAGTCATGACTCCAGTTTTTCTACATCTGCAAACTAAACCATTACATGGCTCAATGTTACCATTAGGTTTTAGCTTTTACTAAACAAATATGTCTAGTCTCTTGTTCTTTCTTCATTTCTAGGTTATAGCCAGTCTTTGATTCCTGAGTTGTGTGACAGTGTTATACTGTGTATGGATTGTCCTCAATTTTATCTAGAAATTATTTTTCTGCAACGTAAATTTTCTTGTGTTTCACAAGAGAATCTTAGCAGGCTCAGAGGAGCTTATAGTAGCAACTGGTTTAGAATATGTTTTTCTTGCAGTTTTTGCTGATTTGCAATATAGGACCTTATGGTACAAGGTCCAAGGTGATTCAGGGGAAAAATTTTCAGACAGTCGCAAGTGTTTTCCAAGTCAGTGGTTGACTTGCTCCAGTATATGGGAAAGTTTTAAACATAGGCTGAGACACCCTACACCTTGATCTCTGACACAAGAAGAAAACGGGAAAAGTTTTGGCCATCAGTTGCTGAGGAATGTAAATGACGTTTGCAGTTTTATTACTCACTTGATTGATATATCTTAAGTAAAAGCACTCTGGAGCACTCCTGTTAGGTAGTGATATTGGGTAAAGTAGCTGTTTTGCATCTCCCCAGTTATCATTATGTTAATTAAATTAATAAAGTTACAGCCTCTAGCTGTAATCATATTCTTATGTGTGTATCTTATTTGCCTGAGGTGCTTGAATCAACACACTGGTCTTATCAAGTCTGACAAAATACATATTTTGTTACATAATTGCCAGTTTAAAGGGAAGTTTTTAGGGTTTGGGATGTATTCAGTTACTGGTACATTGAAACTTATCCATTTTTAGGAAATATACTAAAGAGATATGTACATAACTTTCAAAATACAACTGCAGTCCCCACATACAAACTCACGTTAAATCAATGAGGACTTTTTACTGAGCCCAGGGTAGTGTAGACAATCATATTTCTTTCTAAACAGTATTTTATAGGTCATTACATCAAATGGATTCACCTGTACCTATTTAAATTAGATTTTCTTTCTCTAAATTGGTGAGAGTTTGCCAAATAGCCTAAAATTTCTCATCTCCACACAGTTTTCAGAGCAATCTTTGACTGTATAATTAAGAGGGTTTTTTTTTTCTGACCTTGCTCTGAATAATGATAGTATGATTGGATTTGAAATTACAATGCAAGTGAGAAGAGAAAATTTGCTTAAAACTGAGGCAAAGAAACACATTTTATAATCATTTGAGAGTTCTGAATTAGCCTATGGAATCCAAAAGACATTACTGAAACCTAAGAATAAATCAGTTTATCACAGTTTCAGTTACAGTTTGAAAAATTTTATATTGACATAGTAACATGCATAAAAGAAACAGAAACATAGTTTAGACATAAAACAATTTTTGAGGATATCTGAAACAAAAGACTTGATGAGGAGGTTAATCCAGATTATTTCTACAGTATTTCTTGCCCATCTCTCTGAGGCATCCAATTCCAGACACGATCTGAGACAGGCTGTAAAGTAAATGTCCTTTTGTTTCTAACAGGGAATATTATTGTATGGGGCCAATAGGATTAACATCTTAACCTTTCTAATGATTACTTCTTTATTTGTTTCTTCACCTCACTGCAGACATTCAGTCTACATGCGAATTAGAAGACTGCAACCATCAGACTGACGAATACACTCAATGTAACATTAATCTGGAGGCTTGCACTCCCTTCTGGAAGGCCACACATGCCTTTTAGTGTGGATGAGACAATGGACAAATCAAAGGGACAGAATAAGGGACTGGATGCTGGTTTGAGGGTATGGACAAATATGAGGTGAAATTCAATGTTACTGTGGGCCCTTTACATCCATAACTGATTTGGCAGTTTTGGGAAATTATATGAAAAGGGGATCTTCAGTGGAAGGGAAATCACTTAAATCACTTGTGGATTAAGTAATGTTAAGCATTCCATACCGGGAATGGAAAGTTAAAATTCAGAAACCAAGGGATAAATACACAAAAAATGTTTTCATTAAAAAAAAATTCTCTCATTATTTTGGAACTAAACCCTAAAGATAGCTGACTCATGAATCTCTGATTTGGAAAGGCAGTCTATGTTTGATTTTTTTCCCCAAAAAATATCCCATAGAATTTCAATGGTGATATTCAGTGAGGCTCCTCCATGTTCATATGTGAACTACTGAACATAACAGAACAATCAATGGATAGACTCTCATCTGCAATCAGACTCTCTTTCTCTGTTTAAAATACTTTGGGTTCTAATAATAATTTTCAGACCTGATACAAGAACTGGAAAAGCTCCCAACAGTTAGGGTGGACTTTTCATCAGGTTTATATGCTTTTTTTTTTTTTTCTGAAAGAGAAATTATATCACATTTTCCTCTGAAAAGAGTTCATTGAAAATGATAATTACAGTAGACTTGATGATATAATGAATACTTTGGCAACAGTTTCTCCCAGCTAGTGCCTTTTTTCTCCATTCTGCAACTGCAACCAGCAGTGGTTTAACTATATTCTAAAATTCAATGGTTTAGCTAAACTCCTATATCATCCAAATTTTGCCCTGTAATCTCATTCTCAAAACTAATCTATCATTCTCTAATGTATGATTATTTCATCAAACTGGGTCTGTTTAATTTCAACCAGAAATGCTAACATGTCAGAAAAGATTAACTCAGTCCAACTCATTTTCAAAACTGTCACTGACTTATAAGTTCTTTGTTGGGTTGACATAAAGTGCATGAAGTCAATAGACATTTCCACTTGAATGGCAGCTGGGGCAGACACCGCATGCATACTGACGGTATGAGCGGTTCCATAGTGTGCAGTCTGTTCCAATTTTACTATAAGTGCCTCTTTCTGCATCCAATTCACCTAAAAGCCTCAGATATCAGTAAACAACACAAATGTTTATGATAGCCTATTGTATAGTCATAAGTTTAACAAAATCGTCAAGGATAAACATTTACCAATGTCCTCATCCTCCTTAGATTTAGAGAACATAATTATGGTACAAACTGTGATGTTTGAGTCAGTTTTCACTTTATTTTTAGTTTGGGTTTGAGAATTTTAAGGAGAAGTTTCTTTTCAGTTCCCTCTAGTTCAGCCAAATTAGCAATGCTAGTTCTAGTACAAATCACAAAGTTTAGGTATTGATTTCACAGACACCTCAAACAAGATTTTGAAAAGGAAAACCTATTAGGAAACTTAATCATTTGTAGTAAAATTATGTTAGCTACTACTTGGCAAGATTGCTTTAGAACTAAGGCTTTGAAGCCTGTCACAGGTCTTAAAAATAAAATTGCTTGAGTAGTTGAGGAGAACTGTATTAAAATGCAAATTTCCAGCTGTTAATATTTCTTCAAAAACCAATAATCCCTCAAGGCCACCAATATGTCAAATACTTAATGGAAAAATATCCCTTAGGCAGAATGGCCTTTCTAAGTTGACTTTTGATTAAACTTAAAATACGATATAGCAAAAAAACTTAAAATCAAAAAGAGGATATAAATATAGTACTAGACTAAAATGTCATAGAGAATGCAATTGGAGGGGCAAATTTAAGGTCACTAATTTTTAAGTAATTTTCTACCCTTTTTGAGGATTAGCCAAGGATATAATTGCTAATATAAGGTATATCCTATAGCACACACTTACAAATGGGCCTTGGAGGAACAGAAACTAATATTTTTTAAAGTAATACAGATGTAAACATAAAGTTGAGATATAGTTGGCATGTATAGCACAGAAGTCAGTCTCCACTGCCAAGCACTTTTGCTTCTATTCTGCTGTACAAAATCCGGAATTTAAGGCTCAATATTATCAGGTGAGAATACAACAGATCTTAATTTCCCTGGCTACTGAATTCCAGGACTTTATGTGTCTCTGTCAAACCTAGGAGTCAGATTTCCTTTTAAAAATCCCATCTGAATCAAAGTCTAACCCTGTTCCCATGGAAAGCAGTGACAAAATATTAATGTAAGGAGGACTGAGACCTCAGTCTACTTAAGTCGCAGTATACTGTGACTGAGTACATCAAAATTTTGAGGAAATGAAATTGTCATTTAAACATCAAAACAATCCCAGAACCAATAACTGCTAGCATCTTGAATTACATAATTCCTAAGTGTTGTCCTATAAAACAGATTTATGGAAAAGAAATAACAAAACGGCTCTTTACTGACTAGCATACTCTGTGACATCTGTACTGCTGTAATATCACCTTTTACAATGAAAAATTTGTGGCAGCGAGGTAAAAAAGCATGACAAGTCCACACTGTTTGTAGTGTTAATGAGTAAAGAGAATGTTTAGCAGCAAGAAAAGACAACTCTAGGTGCCTGAAGCATAATCTAGTCTCAGTTCATCTCTAACATACTGCACATTTGGTTTTGAATAAGAATTAGACAAGTGTTTTGGTCAGATCTTATGTGATCATGAAGAAGCAGCAGCTGGACTCTCAGCTGGTGTGAAGCAGAATACTACTACTGATATATCTTGAAGATATGAAAATCTACATCAGTTAAGGACATGACATTGCTTTTGATCTTCAGAAATGTGGTATCATGTGGTATGATGTTCTTAATCTGTAATATAATTCCAAAGAACATTTTTTCAGTACTAAAGCTATTTTATAGTTCTTCAAAATATAATAATCTGTATAGCTTCATTTTAACTTCTGAGGCTTCAGTCACCAGTGCATTACACTAGTGAATGTGAACCATCTAACAGCAATGAAATTACCCTGAGGAAAAAAGTATGAGGCAGGAGCAATATAAAGCCCCTGTTTTTAAATAGGAGTGGTAAAAACTGTAGTTTGTACAGATAGAGAAAAATGTCAAGCAGACATTTCTTTTCTTCTGCAAAGAAATACGAAGAGAAAATTTAGTTACTGGTGATGTTTAACCTGAAATTTTAAAAAGAATGGGTTCGTTTCAGCTCTAAAACATTCTAGATTCTATCAATGTACCCCAGAACTGCAGGACTCAGACATGGGTATGCCTGGGTGAAATCTGAGTTTCACAGAAATTTAGGACAAGTTTTCTCTGACATCTTTTTTTTTCTGGATTTCAGCTGGTACTTACCAAGGATCTTTGGCAGATTCCAGGTTCAAAAAATGTTAACACCTAAGCGGGGCATATAGCAAGTTATATATATAACTCCAGTCTCTATGTGCATCTGCATATTCAAAACAAGAGGTCTCTAGAATGGTTGAGGGAGAGAAGGAAGAAGGGATGAAGGAGTTATAACAGAAAGTGTGAAAAAAGGGTAAGAGATAAGCACCTGTCTGTAGGAGAGGGTTCCAGGGTATGTGTGTCAAATCAGTAGGAACTCTAGTTCTTAGCAGCCCTGATCCATAACCTCCCTGGAAAGTTACCGAGGTACCATGAATTCTGTATTCCTCACAACAAGTTCTTGGCAGCTAAGCAAGCTAACTAGATCTCATCTGAAGGTGTCTGACCATCTTTCCATATAACCTAAACTCCAGGATTCTGGATTTTAAACTGAGTTTAAACAACACAATGCATTTTCTTTCAGTAGTTAATAATCTAACCTAATTACCTTGAAAGACACTTCAAAAAAAGCACCCATCCTTTTGAAACCCCAAGGATTTAGTTTTTGGTGAGCACCTAGAGCAGATAAAGTAGAAGCAGACAAGGACACTTCATGTGATCAGCAGGTTTTCAGTTTGCTGAGTGTCAAGTTCATTTCTGTAAAAATAAATTGACGTCTAAAGAAACAAGAAATAATATTTCAGTTTTCTGATGTCCTTTTAAAAACTACTGGTTTTTTCAGACACAGAGGTCACTTACTGGGTGTTGAGGACACCACATTAAAGACAATAACCAGTCTTGGTTAGGACCAATGATCACATTCCAATCTGGGCTATGACCAATGATCACATTCCAATCTGGGCTGTAACCAATGATCAAAATGTGCTTCCTGACAGTGTCTCATAGCAACATTTGTCAGAGCATCAAAATAGCTATACAAACAGTTTCATTTGCACCAGCTGGAGGATACATAGTAGCACTTCTACATTTTCAGTTTGACAAGTCTGTGCTTAAGAAAGGGTAGAAAATTAAAACAAAATATAGTTATTATAGAAAGACAATAAACAAAGATTACTTCACTTACAGTATTCAGCATGAACAACTTGAAAAATATTTCAAGTACATTTCAACCTAATGTCCTGAACTTGTCTTTCAAGTTAATTTTACCAAATCAGACTGCAATCTTAGCTGTACTTCCAGCCAAAGTACATGTCATCAAGACCATGTAAGTACAGTCATATTGTTATCCCAGCTTTCCATGGTATATAACAAAGCTTTGTTATAATTCATTTTTAGTTGTTTGTGAGTCAAACTTAACAGCAATAAGTAGTTGTGATGAGCATTGTGAAGCTAAAGATGGAACCAGGCTGTGTTCTGTATTCAGTTCAGGAAGCTTTATATCCCTTTCTCTCCATAACTTCAGGTAAGAAGAAAAGAAAGCCTCTTTCAGTATTACCCATATTCAGAATTAAATGCTGTCATACTTTCATTCATTTATTTTTCAGGTTGCCTTGTTAGAAATTTAAGCTCGTGAACAGGTGATCTATGCATTAGTGTTATAATTTTGTTTTATCATCATAGTTATTTTGCCTTTTCTTATCTAGCAGGAGATTCTGACAATATTCTTAAAGTTACCTTGTACTGAGTCTATTTTCTGATATTTCTCTTTATTTTCCCCAAGGCTCACTAGAACTTGAATTTCCATTTCAAATAAATCCAAAAACCCTTATTTCTCTGTTGTCTGAATAGGGTTTTTAAAAATTAATTATTCTTAACATTTATTTTTACATTTAAATGGACAATTGAGAAGGCATTATTTTTTCTCATTTACCTTTCATCTTTGAAAGACAGATTTTTGTCTTTTTTTTTTGGGTTTTTTTTGGGTTTTTTTTTTTGTTTTTTTTTGTTTGGTAAAGCATTGCCAGATTCTTAATGAATTTCCCAAATGATAATGTTGTTTGGGGGTTGTTTTTCGGCTTTTGGGGTTTTTTTACATTTAAATGATTTTTTTTCCTTTGTTATCCAGTTATAAATCAGATGGCTTTGTTATATTGTAGATAATTGTTTTAGTATTCACACAACAATGGAATCAGGAAGGTATTATGCAGTGGTTTACATTTAGACATATGGTATTTTTAACTACAAATTTCAAAAGAGCCTTATCTTAAGTAGCCGAGAAACAATTAAAGTTTCCATCAGAGAAAGAACATGCATAAGTTAAAAGTAATGAGTTTCTGTAAAACATATCCCAACAATCAGGGTTGTCTAAAATTGAAATCCTTTGGCAATCATAAAAATTGTTTAAACTAAGAGCTTTGTTATGTTGTAAAATGAGATTTTATCATCAAAGAAAGACAAAAATAAGAAAGAAAAACCTGGTAACTGATTTGGATTTAGTATCAAGTAATAACAATTATTCTGAATGTCCCCCTTGAATTATTGTAAGTAATGGAATTTTTCTTGTTTGGTCTGTTGAGTCACTTTTGTTTGGTTAGGTGGGTAAGATTATACTATCTGTGAGATCAACCACTATCTTAAAAGATTAATTATTTTCTTTGTCATGAGCTTATATTTTGCTTGTCTTTTGACCAAAGCAGTAAATAGATTTATAACCTGTCTTTTTCAACTATAGTGGTTTGACCTTGGCCAGGTGCCAGATACCCACCCAGCTGCTCTCTCATTTCTTCTCTTTTCACATGCCCTCTGCTGAGGGAGAAAAAAGATGAAAAAAATCTCGCAAGTTGAGATAAAGATATTGACATCACTTACCAATTATGGTTATGGGCAAAACAGACTTGACTTTGGGGAAATTAATTTAATTCTTTGACAGCTGAAACAGATTTGGCTAGTGGAAAATAAGGACAAAAATTAAAAAACCTTCCTTCTATCCCTCCTTTTTCTTAGGCTCAACTTCACTCCTTCATTCCCGACTTCTCTACTTCATCCCTGCCCCAAGCAGCACAGGTGGATGAGGAATGGGAGGTTACGGCCAGTCCATATAAGTTCATCTCTGCTGCAAGCTAGAGTTTATTAACACAAATCCACAAAAAAATCATTTGAATTATTTTATTGATAGGTATTTTTGCATCTTTATTAAGATTTACTTTCTACAATAGTTTTGCACAAGCATGCAATAGTAGGCAGTAGTTTCTTGCTGTTACTGAAAATTAAGGCCATGATATTGAATGGATGAGGTGACAAAAGGTCATATCAACCATAAACAGAAGTGTCAGAAGAAATCTGATTCATTTTCCACCTGTTGGTAAATTAATAAGGCCCATTCATTCATTTGCAGTCAAAATAGTAGCCGTAATACTGCAGTGTCATAAGCAGACACTACATGCATTTTACATAAGTATGTGAGCAATGTGACATCAAAGGGGCAAAGATGTGTGCAGTTGAATGTGGGAGGGATTCAGGTAACAATAAACTGTAAGTAGAGAAGAAAATGAGTGCAAAAGACTGTAAATAGGGAAGATATAATGCCAAATACAACAAAAGGATACTCATATCTAATTTATTAAACGATTGTTAAAGACTCACAGTTCTCTGTAGTGATGCAGTGATAATAAAAAAAAAAAAAAAATTAATGTGTAAGTATTAAACTTTGGCATGAAATGGGAGGTGGGGGTGGTTAATGAATGAATTTGGTATTGTTATAGCTATATCTACATGTAGATATCTTCACTTATAATAACCATCATGGAATTTGTCCATCAACATTTTTTAACATGAAAACTTTAAAAATCTAACATACAACCATTTCCAAAATTTCAAAGCATCACTATACAAACTCATAACAAGTCTGTTGAAATATGGGGAAAAAGGAAAGCCAACATTACTTCAAAAGTGTCTCCTTAAACCCCTTGCTGAGAATATCCTTCAAGCTAAGCTAATTTACCAAGTCAGAAAAGCCAGCAAAAGGAACTTAAACAAGGGATTTTTTTTTTTTTTTCTCTCTTTACCCTAACATGATCCTATCACCTGCGCTAGCAAATTGCAGTCCCCCAGCAGGAGAGAAGCTAAAGACACAGTCCCCTCAGTGTTCCTTCTGTACTGGGAGAAGAAAGGTATCATGGAGAGAAGAATACAGAACTTCACATAAACCCACCAAGTATGAAAAGTCTAAAGGATGAAGCAGACAATAGGAAATCTTTTTTAGGAAGGATGGTGTGGAGGATGTTCTGTTTAGTATCTTTATCAATGATTTGGACCAGGGATCAAGTAAGTGCACACGCAGTCACTGCAAATTGGGTGGGAATGTTAATCTGCTTGAAGGTAGGAAGGATCTACAGAGAGATCTGAGCAGGTTGTATCAATGGGCCAAGGACAACTCTGTGAGGTTCAACACGGCTGAGTGCTAGGTCCTGCACTCCATGCAATACTACTTGCTTGGGGAGAAGTGGCTGGAAAGCTGCCCAGGGGAAAAGAACCTGGGGGTGTTGGTCAACAGCCAGCTGCATATGAGCCAGCAGTGTGCCCAGGTGGCCAAGAAGGCCAATTGCATCCTGGCTTGTATTAGAAATGCTGTGGCCAGCAGGACTACAGAAGTGACTGTCCCCTTGTACTCAGCACTGATGAGGTCACACCTCAAATACTGTGTTTAGTTTTGGGCCCCTCACTACAAGAAAGACATTGAAGTGATGGAGTGTGTCCAATGAAGAGCAATGAAGCTGGCAAGGGGTCTAGAGAGCAAATTTTATGAGAAACAGCTGAGGGAATTGGGGTTGTTAAGCCTGGAGAAAAGGAGGTTCAGGAAAGACATTGTTGCTCTCTACAACTAAATGAAAGGAGGTTGTAGTGAGGTGGGTCAGTCTTTTCTCCCAAGTAACAAGCTATAGGACAAGAGGAAGTGGCATCAAGTTGCACCAGGGGAGGTCTAGATTGGATATTAGCACAGATTTCTTCACTGAAAAGGTTGTCAATCATTGGAACAGGCTGCCCAGTGAAGTGGTTGAGTCACCATCCCCAGAGGTAAAAGACATGTAGATGTGGCACTTAGAGATATGGTTTACTTGTGGTCTTGGTAGTGCTAGGTTAATGGTTTGATTAAATGACCTTAAAGATCTTTTCCAACCTAACTGATTCTATAAATGCATGGTCATCAGCATATCTCTCTGATGCTAACTGAAGGGCTTGTTTTCAGAG